GGATTGCTCCGCGTCTTCTAAATTGATCTCTATTTAATCCATATTTTTGTTTCGTTCTAAATGATAAGTGACGGGTAATTCACGCGTAATCGTTTTAATTAATATTCGCATATAATATAATATGAGATCCTATATATTTATACGCATCGAGAGGTACGGCATACATACCTGCATCCAATTTAACAATAAAGAGAAAGTACAAAAATATGTTTATCGCGTAGATGTAAAACGATCGAATGTCGAGTAAACGCGTTCGTATAACAAAATGTACGAGAAAGAGTTTCGTTCGTCGCGTTTGTGAATTTTTATACGAGGTGATCCAGAAAAAAGATTGAAGATTAGGAAAAGGAATGTATTCTCTGAAGAGAGGACAACTTTTTTAATTCAAACGTGTATGAAGATTATGTCTCAGAAAAAATGATATAAATAATGTTAACATAATATTAAAAAATCAATATAACATTAATATCTCCTATGTAATTTATTTAATTATATGCCACGATATATAAATAGACAAATTTAATGAAAAAGTAACATAGACGGATAAGATTTTATATTTTTTTTAATTAACAAAATACGAGATGTTATTTCTTTATGAAGTTCTGTTAATAAAATCCGCTTATCTATGCAAATAGCAATTAGACAACTACAGTTGAATTCTCTTATTTAAAAAAAAATAAGGGCTAAAAAATACATTTCTATTAAGTCACCCTTTTTCTGGATCACCCAAGCGTCTTTTAATGTAGGATTATTGTCGTGAATCGACAATAATGATAACTTTATGGTAATCTCCATAAAGCTCTACGCGCAACAGTAGGAATAACAGAAACCAATTAATTAATACGCGGCGGCGTACAAAATTCATGTACATGCTGTTTTAGGTAAAGTCGGCCTTAAATCGTCCGCCGGTGTTAAAAATAAGCTTCTCGCGCCGTTTTTATCGCGACTCGTAGCTGACGTGTATACTGATCAGCGGGAGGGGAAACCTCGGTTCCGGGATTTTCTCTCACTTTTTGCGAGATACCGAGATTACCGAGTTCGCTCTTTAGACTCACTTAAACGCAACAATCACTGGTACGCAGATATATAGCAAGGTAATCGGAACGCCCATTTCTCATCTTTTTTCTCACACGCACTTTTGTACAACGAATTTGTTTTGTCATGTCGAAAGAAACGGCTTTGTTGATTCTCTCCTCGTCGGCTTCGCTATCGACAGCACAAACGGGATGTTCCAATTCTCAATTATTTCTTCCTCGTGTTTCGCACGAAAGTGAATCCTCTCCAAATCCAAATGGGTCTAATTTTTCGATTAATAAATGATACATCGATCGATGTGAGTTCTCTACAAATTATACATCTAGGTGCTTCCAATTACATTCGACAATGCGTCGAAAAAATATCGAGGATAAAATCTGAATAGTTTCGAGAAGGCAAGAAAATTCTTTAAAAATTCCGTCGTCTGAATTATACTAGAAACATAAATATTTTCTTAAATAAGATTATAAGCAATTTTTAAGACAGTAATAACAAAAATAGTATCATACTATATTACGAAAAGTTTTAATTTTCATTTCAAAGAAACGTTCAAGCTGAAACCCTTTGTCCTAGATATTTCTTCATATCTTCAGATCCAAGTACGTGTGTATTACGTTTCTGATGGACCACTTGTTAGAATCATAACTTGGTTAAATCGCAATTTTGATTTACAGCTTTGTTTTATGCTACGTGTAGGAACATTGACGTGATTATTTTACGGAAGCATTAAGGGAAACCTCTAAAACTTTCTAAGTTAACTAGCGAAAAATCCAGGTCAATGGGAGCTTGTTGATAATTATCAGACGTATGTGGCTGCATGATTATTAACACATTTAAAATCCAGTAATATTTTTCGTACACAAATATCACATTATCAAACATTAATTGCATCAATTGATATACTTATCACTTGACATTGAAAGTAAATTGATCAATATCATAGTTGTTTAAATATATGTTCAAAAAAACAAATGTAGAAAATATAACATCTCCAAGCTGCATAATACTAGTATCCCAATTTTAAGTTTTATCGTTTGATTATCATATTTGAAGTTGCAAAAATAGTTTTGAAAATGCTCGATCAATCATTATAAATAGATTGCCAAGAATGAAAGTTAGATTATCTCCGCCTTCTCTTTTCTATCACTTTAATTATTTATAAGAGTATAAAATGTCTTTTACGACAAAAAAATTTCCACTCATTTGCCGTTTAAACAACATCTTTCCTAACGATAGTCGTAACGAAATTTGTCTGTATATTTTATTAATCGAAAAAGTCAACCATTGCCGAGCGTTTGCCGATTGCGTTCGCCCGCGAACGATGTGTTTCTCTCGGAGATTATGCAACAACGACTCGCGGCTTCCAAATGTGTACCAGGAAGCTGGACAGATGTGTATGTGTATACATATATATATA